CAAAACAACAAGCGCCTCCAAAGTCCAAACCCTCAAAGGACACTGACACGTAAACAAACAACCGTATTCCGGAAACGCCATAACTGGCGCACTAGCGCCGAAATCAACGCAAGCAGCAGTGTGCTGCCATATGTAAAGCATTTTCACGCCGAATATTTTGACCTCTAAAACCCCTTACCTTTCTGAGGTCTGATTTGAGATTACGTTGCCAGCTGTGGCTCTCTCAGTCTGAGATAGCCATCTCTCTACCACGTCGGAACTGTCGACACTGGGTGGTTTGTGACGCACCCCTTCTGCCAGCTCAGGATCGCTCGCGCTCCGAGACAGCTCGCTCTGAGCTCCTGCGCTGGGCAAGCCTCCCACGTCCAGTTCAAGTTCGTGAGCCCCCGAAATTCGCTTCTTTGGCGGAGCGCAGTCTCCGGACCGAGACCTGTAGCGCTTCCCGTGACCGCGTTTGACCTCCGGGCGTAGCTCGTCGACCGTTCCAGGGTCAACCTCAGCGGATGGCCGATCCTGCAGGGTATTCTCGCTTCCCGGTTCCGTAGAGGCGTCCGGAGCATCGCTGGTGGTCATTACATCAGCAGAGTCCTGTTCCTGTCCAGACATGCTGGCAGCAGAGCTTGCTTAAATTACAAACGCACTTCACTTAGCTATCGATGTTATGCTCTGCTTAACACCCCAACCTCTCGCCTGGCCATCGTGGTGCTGACACCTCAAGTGCCCTCGCCTCGAGTCACAGCGGCAGGCGACCCGCAACCACCCCACAACCGCCACCGACTGATGTCAAACTGAGCTCTCGGAGCCGGGCCCAGGCCGGGTCAGGCGCTCGAGGCGGGGTCGCGGGGCTAGAGCTGCCAATTCCGAGGTCAGAGGCCACACTACCCACATACGAGTACCGGGGATCCACCCAACCGTTGTTCCTGGACGAATACGTGACTAAAGTAGCTCAGGTTTCGAACTTTCGCGCGAATGGCAATTGCCTTTCAATTGTTCGCGACTCGCGAGTCAGATCGGTCCATAGTCCATATCACCGCGGTCAGTCCTATCGGTCGCCAGATACAGAAAACACATTTTCCCAAAAAGCACATGTCTTAAAAAGTTTATATAAAAAATAGTATATTGCCTGCCAATGACAAAACATTCTAGTGAGGAATGCAAACTCATAATAAAAACCTCGACCTGGCGCTTTCAGATGGAGTCCACGGGCCGAAACCCTTTCTAGCCTAACACTAGGACGTTTAAACGCCGAGCGTTTCCGCATTACGCTCCTGTCGTCAAAAGTTTCCATCACAAAATGATATCAACAGCCAGTTCTATTTCTTAGTCCGAACTCAGGAGCAGTCTCGTACAAAATGAAACACAGCAGCCGCTTACTCGTATTCACAGTCCAGTCAATATGACTGCACATATACATATGACACGTAGTCAGTACCTGGGCCTTCAAGCCGGGGCCACAGCTCAAACGGAAATCCCAATTACAATGTAACTCAAAGTACCACCAAGTTCATTCAAGAGAACCTCGCGGGTTTCCAGTGAACGCTACAGCCAGCCACCATCGGCGGCTTCTAGTCCACTGGTTAGGATACACTCAGCCGAGCGGCTCCTCTATGCCGCATAACTCTCAGAAGTGGCTTCAGCGCCGGTAATGACCCACCCTCCCCCTCCCCCCACTCGGCGGGATTGTTCCCCTCCCCAACCCAGACCTCAGCGGCCCGCTCAGCGGCGGAAGCGGCGCACGGGTGAGCGGTGTCGCCGCTCAGCGGCGGCCCGCTGCAGCGGCTCACCGCGCGGCATAGCGGCAGCGGGGGCCGGCAGCGGCCGTCCCCATCCGGCCGGCTGGCCGCTCGGTGGCCCGTTCACCTGTGAAAGGCGCACCGTGAGGAGACGCGGGTGAAACGACAGAGAATCGGCAGCAACACATGACAAATGGGCGAGTAGTGGACCGGTGCTCAAAGTAGGATCCACTCAACATTTAAGTCCGTGGCAGCGTGACAGCATCAATGAAAATTAAATAAGACTGTCATTTGACAATCTGCAAGTTAAAAAAAAAAACATTTCAATATACAACGATTAAACTTTTCAGCAAAAAGCCGTCACTTAGATACCTGCTTGCAAGCTAGTGAACACTGGGCCAATATACCTAGCTCGGTCCGGTACTGGCCTCACCTGCTGGCCGGGATGCTGTGCGGTGTCCCAATCCTGTCCCTTCGGCTCCACGCCCATGACGGCTGCCGCCTGAAGCTGCAGCGCTATCTGCTCGTCCGGTGTCTGCGGCTGCGGCTGAAACTGCTGCGCTGGCGGCTGATAATGCTGCTGCTGCGGTGGAGGCTGATATTGCTGCTGCGGTGGCGGCTGCTGATAGGGCTGGTGCTGCTGCGGTTGTTGATACTGCTGCTGCTGCTGGTACTGCTGCTGCTGAGGCTGCTGGACCGATGCCAGTCGCTGCAGCAGCGCAATCTGCTGCTGAATCTGCTCTTGGCTCAGCTGCTGCTGCTGCAGCTCGTCCAGCGAGCAGGTAGGAGCCATCAGCGGCCGGATCGGCTGTATTTCGGGCGGACCGGCGGCGGCCCGCTGGCCGTACGTAGCGCCCGGCAGCGGTGCCGGCTGCCCGGGTCGGTACGGCACCTGAGCCGGCCAGCCCGGAGCGGCGCCGGGCGGTGGGCCCAGGGGAGGCACAGAGCCGTTCGGCGCCGCACCGGCCGGCGGCGGCGGACCATACCCGGGCGGTGGCACGTGCAGGTGCATTTCGCGCGCGGCACGACTCTGCTCGGCAGCCTCTCGTGCCATGGCCGCCGCACGTGCCTTGGCGTCCGCCAGCTGATCGGCGAACGGGGCGCTCTTTGGCACACACTGCTTCTTCACCGGCGGCGCCAGCGGCGGCTCCGACTCTTCAACTGCCTCCCTCGTCCGGGAAGCGGCCGCCGCCTCCTCCTCGCCAATGAAGAAAGCCTCCGAGAGGTTGTCCTCCTCGACATTGCCAGTAACGGACGGCGGCGGTTTGCTAATGTCTACCTGTTCCACCGGCACGGCCGCCCTCTCCGCCTGAGCTGCGATCTCCGGCGGGGCTGAGACCGCCGTGCCGTTTGTCACCTCTGCCGGAGGCTTTTCTGCGGTACGGATCTCCGCCACCACCTCCATAATGGCGATCTTGAGCGTTGCCTTTCCCTCCATTGGTAGCCGTTTGAGCGCCTCGGCAACGCTGAGCGCAAACAGAGCGTCCGGGTCGCGTACGGTCCTCTTCAGGGCAGCGATTTCGTCCATGCCGTCGTCAGACGCCGGGGCGGCGGCGGCGGCTGAGTTAGCGCCCGGTGTTGGTAGAGAGGCAGAAGACGAGCCTGAGCCTGCAGCCGCATCCACTGGGTGTTCGGCTACCGGCGCCGCCTCAGCTCCGTCCAGGCGCGGCCGTTTGGCGTCTGGTCCTTGATCGGCCACATTTTGGGAGTTACCTCTCACCTCCGGTTTCGCTAGTGAAGGATCGGAGGGCGCCACCGATTTCGCGACGTCCCCACCTACAGTGCCCTGACTTCGAGCGACGGCACTGTCCGCGTTAGTTGGCTCATCTCTGGCAGTAGCGGCGCCTGCGGCCTGGGCGGTATCCGACGCGCTGCCTGATATGCTGCACTGAACAGCAGGCGATGTCCCCACAGCCGTGTGAGCGGAGACGGCGACCGGAGCTGCAGCTGACGTAGCCACGGAGCCTGCCGGAGCTGCCGAGACCGCCAAAGCCGGGGAGGCGCTGGCGGTGGGCGCAGACGAGATCCCCGCAGCGGCTTGTAGTCTGCATTAGGCAAGAAATGTCAGCGAAGAACGCAAATTAGCTTCACAGCGTATTGCAGAGACAAATAACGAAGCAAACACTCGCAACAGCTGCTCATCCTTGCTGGGGAGAAATAAAACGTGTGAGTCTTAATTATCTGCCGACAGCTGCCTGAAAAATGAGAATGAGGGTTGTACAACAATGCGCACATTCACGAATGTACGACACATTTCCTTTTGAAAGAACTGTAAAAAAGAAATACAGGATGAAATACAAAGAAATACACACAGAAATGTAGATGCCGGATCAACAGAAAGTTGTGAGAGCGTTATGAGTGCTGAGTAATGAAAAGGGGGAATATTAATAACCCTATCGGGTTGCAGGATATTGAAGAGAGATATACGTTTGGCTGCTGGAATATTAAGCAATATCAACATGTAATTGACTACTATCAATAATATTTACATTTATTCATTTTACAACACGATGATAGCATTCGTGAATTTAGACCTATTCAATAATTGATAGTAAATAATAGCTTTAACACAGTAGCAACTCATAATAATGGTTCGAGTCACTAATAAACGACTGGGTAGGGTAAAAAAAAAAAATACACCAGCCCAGCACACAGCCGGGATTCCGCAGTTACGCTAAACTAACAAGGATTTAGGAATCTCCGTCGCCTGAGAACGGAAATCACTACTCAATTACAAATCAAAGGAAACATTCAGAGAACTTCAATACCATTCTGCCGACAAAATGCACAGTACGATACTGGAGTTCAGCACCACCGTTCGTTCATCAAACGGGCTGCCAGACATAGTGTACGGTCCACAAGACATTCCAGATACGGTCAGGGTGTGTCACTGTCACGGCAGACTCCGGTATCCACCTGCACCTGAGAATCGAGCTTCATGCTGTTTGGGTTTTGGAGGCGTCCGAACTCCGCTAGTTATCAACGTCTGCACCTGAGATTGGGTCCGAAATAAACATATATTTAAGTAATCACACAGCATATTGATGCAGTCATAAAACGTCATTGTTTCTCAGAAAACGTCACAGAAAACATAAATCATGACGGTCACCGCCTTCACCGCCCCCCAGTAGGTATATGTCCTGCAAAAAAAAAAAAACGCAATGTCCTGAAAAAAACACGCACGTACAGCATGATCACGCCGCCGTCGGCCCGACCTGTCGCCTACTCCGGTGGCCCGTCTGCGTCTCCCTCCGTCCGACCGATTACCGTTTCATCACGAACGCGGCCAGCATCTGTTCGGCAGAGGCGGCGGCCACCGGGGGCAGCAGCTCGTCCAGCACGCTGGCCAGCTTCTCCGGCGGCACGCCCGTCTGTCGGGCCAGCTGCGAGAGCTCCGGGTCGGCGGCCGCGCCCGCTGCTGCCTGCGGACGGGGGACCGTCAGCACCGCCGGCCCCGACAGCAGGCAGGGTTAGAGAGGGGTCCCGGACAGCAGGCAGGGGTCAGAGGCGGGACACGGCCTCAGGGCGGGCTCCGAACATGTAGTGAGGGAGGAAGAAGGGACACAGAGACAGAAAAATATTGTGAATAATATAGGTACAACATCTTTAGTAACTAAAACGGATGGTGTCAGATAAATCTGGTTTTCATTCGAATGCACAAGCGCTAATGCTGATGCAGGCTAGCTGCAAATTATTTCAGTGATAAGCAGTTGTCCACCGGGCACCTTGGGCAAAGTCTAAAGAGTCCTTCTGCTCGATAATCAGTCAGCGATCAGGTAAGAGAGAAGGCATGCGATGACGGGACGGGAGACGTGCTTAACCCGCGCCCTGCTGGGGGGGGGGGTGTTTGAACACCCCCCCTTGTGGTTTTTCGCGAATATCTCAAAAACGGCGGCGCGGAGCGCCGCCGTTTTTGGTACACCTTATCATACATCAATTCTACACATGTTGTGAAAATTTCAGACCAAGGTCATTCAAGGTCAGGTCACCAGGTCACTTGAAGTGACCTCACCTCATAAAAAGTTTCAATGTCTGTCATAGCTACACCGAGTGACCGATCGCTTTGAAACTTTCAGCGATTGCTAAGAGCAATAGCATGTACAAAATGTATATCTCAGAATTTTGATATCGATGACCTAAGGTCAGGTCAATTTTGCGACCTCCCCATTATAAGTCAATGGGAGAAAATTGAAATGCGCCTGTTTTGGATGAAAGACATTATAAACACTCCCAAACACCGAATTACAAGTGGTTTAGACACACTGAACTTGAAAATGGTGTCCGTGACCCTTGTTTATGCCCTGAGGTCATCTTAGGTCACGAATGGTATCTAACAGTTTTTCGCAAATAACTTTTGATAGAGGCATGCTAGAGCGATGAAAACTCCTTAGATGTGTTCAGCTCGACGATACGGATCGACTGATATGCAACATGACCCTTTCCGGTCAGGTCATGACCTTGACCTGAGGTCAAATTTTCAAGTTGACCTTTCAAGGTCAAGTTATAGTTCATTCGATGCGTCTTGACGAGAGGAACACGATGCCGGTAAAAGTTAGCTCGTACAAGGCTTGGGTCAAAAGTTATTGCAGAAAAACTGTTTTCGAAAAAATCGGTTATTTTTGCAGTTATTGCCCCCTGCAGGCAAAACCGTTGACGTTAGGTCAAATCTGAGAGAATTACTCAGAAAGGGCGTTAATAGGGCTATCGAATGCGCTTTTCCGCGGCGCTGTAGCTCTATTGGTTCCCGAGTTATGCGTTGGCTTCTTGGAAATTGTCGACATTCGACCTGGAAATCGGCGAAATTTTGCCTTCAATGACCTCTGGTGACCTGACCTTTGACCTGACCAAAAAATTGACCGAAGTGATTTCGTCATTATTTTTTACGCTCTTTCGAACGCCGCCTTCCGCGTATCGCTACGTGGCCCAGGAGCCGAGTTACAAGGGGGGGTGTTCAAACACCCCCCCCCCCCCCCAGCAGGGCGTGGAAATCCAGGACCCCCAGCAGGGCGCGGGTTAAGCTGACGGTCTTCACCCGCAGGCGCCTGTAATTAACGGTTAGCAGGATGATTGCTCGCAAAGCCATCGGCTGTTCCAGGCTTCCAGCTGCCGGGAATTGTACGGTGGCAGAAGAAAAGACCGCATTCCTCGCCTGCCAGTCATGTCAGAGAAGTGACCGGTCGTGCATACCTTCTTCCTTCTTTCACTGCTCACTGTGGTATAAGTTATGCCATCTAAGGCTTTATATTGATCATTGACAGAAGACGTTGTCACTCAGTGCCGAGAAGCTGTGGCGCTCGTCAATAAGTAATTTGCATTTTCCGCTTTAAAGGTGGCTCAGATCCTTTCGGCTACATCACGAGAGGCGGAGCCTTGAAAAATTGTCTTGAAGTTCAAAGTTGTGCCCGTTTAAATGAGGCACATTTTCTCGATCACTGAAAGAAAAATATTAGCATTTCAACATCCCTAAGGCATCACCATATCCTTTCCAAATAAGCGTCGACCTCGATGGAAAGAAAATGCGTATGTTTAACTTCTGTTAACAATTCCTAGACAATACAATTTAGGATACCATGACCGAAAATATTACGATCAGTGGACTCGATGGAGCGATGTAAGATGACCGAAAAATGCAGCTACAACACACAGGAAAACTGGAAAAGACAAAAACTCGATGGTCTGAAACATGCTGAAGGCCTGCAGGTGAACTACGAGTCAAAGTCCGGCACTGGTCCTAGCACACTGTAGGGCCGCAGCTGTAACTCTAAGATCGGATGCGCACTGCTCATATAAGCACATGAAATCAAGCCAGCTCTGAAGGGAGTCCTGTGGCAGGTCAGTAATCTGCATTCCAGGATTACCTGTAGAGAAACTGTCATGGGAGTCATCATGATGGAACTGTCATGATGGAAAACTGTCATGATGTAACGAAGTCAAAACTGAACCCGGCATCAAGTAAACTTCGGCCGCAGGATAACTGTCAAGAAGAGATACAGAGCTGGACATGCAGCATTTAATCCGATCTTGCAGAACTGTAACTCGAGATTGCAACTGCATGGCCACCGTTTGTACAATGAGGTCACAAATCGATCAGGTAACACGTCAGCAGCTGCAAATCTGTCATTGGCTGCGCGATAACTCCAGGAATCGAGTCAGAACTGGGCCCGTATCGTTCACGGCTCAGCGGCAGTAAACCTGCGATCAGCTACACGGTAATTATGACGAAAGAAATGAACTGAATGAACTGGGCTCAATGTTAGTCAACGGCTGGAGGATCGGCGACAGAGGCTGAAATAAGCAGAAAGCCTTGAAGAAACACGAGGAATGACAAAACACGGCCGCATTATTCACAGCCATTATGGTATACAGCCGGTGAGCAGCGGGAGCATCAGTTTCCAGCCTCATTCTTCCTCCTTGACGGAAGAGACGTAAATATCAGGACTTCTGCGCGTTTAAGCCACATCCTTCATCGGCGACGAGTAAAAAGCAGAAACGTACCTAATGGAAAGAGAGGTCGGAGTAACATGAGAACAGACGACCTAGGGAGAAATGCGTCAGAATTAAAATAATGGTACTATTCCTCAGCAAAGGTTGGCATTCATGAAGTAGATTTGGGTCGTTTATCATCATGACGCACAACCCTCTGCCACAAACCATATAACTAATTAGAACCCAATCAGAAAATATCAGAGCCAATAATACCACATGAGGCAAGAAAGAGCATACCCCTTAACTGCAGTCAGATGACACCGGTAAAAGTACCTTTATCTACCGCCATCTAACACAATCAAGTTACATCGAACGTCGAAGGTTGCAACAACTATGTCTGATGGGCAGTTACTGGCATTATGACAATATCACGTTCAAAATTTTACTGATATGAGCACACGCTACACAACAAGCAGGGACTTAAAACCCCGATCACTTAAGCAGCAATTATGTACCGTCTCATTAAGTGACTGGCTCCTTACCGTGGCGGGTTGTTGCTGCTGCGGTCGCTGCTCGGTGTTTATCGCCGCCGACAGCTGCGGCTGCTGCTGGGGGCGGCTGTCCTGGTGCGGGTACCCCAGCCCAGCGGCTGAAAGTGCTGGCTGCTGGGGAAAAGACGGCATGCTGTGCTGTACCGTCTGGGGAGGGTACGCCATCTGCTGCTCCAGGGGCGGGACAGGAAGACCATGTGCCTGCGGCGGACCGAATCCCCGCGGTGGAGGGGGAGCTGCATAGCCCGGCTGCATGTGGAGCTGGTGTTGCTGATGCTGGCTGACTGGGATTCCATCGTGGTGATGACCTGTCAACAGACGTAAATGAAACACAAGGAACTCAGGACAAATTAGCATCAATATCACAGTAATTAGCAGCAGCTGCTGCTATCTACCTCCCACCGCTGCAACTTGCCTCCCAGGCAAATCTTACGGGAAAACTATCATCGTATTGGACAATCTCAACACCACAAGCGACCTACTGCTCCCTATTCAATATCATTGCCTATACTTTGATCATTTATTATATTATAATTATTTTCATTTATAATGGCTAATTTGGTCGAATAACTAGCTAAATTAGGTAAAGTTTGGTCACACTTTTTGTGTTTGTCTTTGGTGGTTATGGTTCAAAACCTCCAAATGAAGATTTGCCTAGAAATTCACTGTATTGAAATAAAAAATGCTAGGAATCACAGTTCACAGATGCATAATATCTCACCTGACTTTTCAGCTGCCACTCTGTACTGATAATAGTTGCAATATTCACCACCAAAGAGAAAGGCAAACTTGGGGTTATGCCTTTGCTTGTTTCTGGTCAACTTTTCAAACTCATGTCCATTTCTTGCCACAAACATAGCCAACTTGTCTATTAGTATTTTCCTTTCTGGATCTGGAAATAGCCACAGGTAGATAACACACATTTCTAGTTTGGCTCAATTAGCTAAATAGTTTGTTTTGGCCTGGATGATGACACAAACTTAATAATCAAACAAACTTAATAATCATTATAATTCACATTCTGCCACACTTTCAAGAGATGAGCTTGAGTTATCTGAATGAGCCAGTGCCAGGCCAAAGAGACTGAAGATGATCAATCCATAAACAAGTTGAATGGTGCTCAGCACAAAACAAGGGATCTGTAGGTACTCATCACTTCTTCCCAAGAAAATGTGAGGGGATTTGGGATGGTTTAGAATCAGAGTGCTGTATTGGGCTGCCACAAGAGCATTTCTGAGAGAAAATCAGGCTGTACAAAAGCAAATTGACGGTGCACATAGAAGGCCTTTGAAATCAATTTTGCTGTTTCAAGTTTTTGGCAGTCATGCCATGGTGCAGGTCATAGGAGCATTAGCATTAAAGAGTGTTTAAGGAAGCCCAACGCCACAAAAAGTACATACTACATACCAAAACATGCATAAAACAACCATGAAAAACTGGCACATGGACATAGGTACCTCA